GAGAGAGTGTCGTATGGCTAGTGTCCCCACAAACTCTGCAGCTTCGTTTTTGGAAAGAGCCTGGGACCGCCTGCTGTGATGACCCTTGTGAAGTGGTTGTCACCCCCTGATTGGTCATGATACGATTTAATAAACTGATCAGAGCCTGCATACTGTTCCCATCCATGGCTGTGTTAGCTGGCGGAACCTGTGCCTCTTCTTGCTTAAGCTGCGACACTGGCTGACATGTGGGGAACTGCATGAACTGTGTCGCAGGTATTGGCACTGAGCAGGTGGCTGTTGGTGTCTGGGGTGGGTGAGGGATCATTGTGATTGTTGGAGCTGGCTTGTTTTGGTGGGCAGACATTGAAAGCTGAGAAACTTGGGATGGAACTGGTGCAGAAGTATGAACGTTGGTAGGTGTGGCTAATGATACGCACTGTGGGTTAATGGGTGGCGGTGCAGTGAGACTTATCTGTGCTGATTGGGAAACTTCACATCCTGACATAAAGGCGGCCTGGGTGTAGTTGACTGCATGTTTAGGTTGGGCTCGATATCCAATGTCTGAACGTGTCCTGAGCTCTCGTAGGAAGCTGTCAATCCGCTCCTGGACTTCACTGGTTGACCACTCCTCAGCTGCTTTGAAGCTGAATCTGTTAGACAGGATAGGGTCAGGACAATATTTAATAAACATCAACTTGACTTCTCGGCCTGGGTCTTCAACACTGCGTCCCTGGCGCTGTAGACACTCATCAGCCATGTCGATGGCATTGTTAAGTCTGATCCAATACTCCATAACCCCTTCGTGCTGCAGTGGTCTGGTATTGTAAAAGTCAGCCATTGGCATGGAGGAGTATGTCAACTCACCAAAGTGTTGCTTTAAAATGTCAAAAACCAGTTCAGGAGTCTGAATGTGGTCAAGTGAAGGGCTGTTACGAAGTGTTATCTTGACCACATCTTTGGCTTTGCCCATCAATCTGGAGATTATCTCTTGTGACCTTTGTTGTTTGGGAATGTTCCTCTTTACACAATACATGGAC